ATAAAGAAATAAAATTGGAATTAAAAAAAAATGAGAGAGAAGAAAAAAAAATAAGATTAAAAGGAAAAAGAGAGAGAAAAATAAATTGAAGTGGAAAAATTTAGGAAAAAAGCGAATGAGAGCATTCATGTGTAAGTTATGATTAGAAGTTTAGAAAGAAAGAAAAAAGAGAGAAAAAAAACAAAAAAAATGAGACTAAGAATGGAATAGAGCGAGAGGGGTCGAAAAACAATTTTTGAGAGAGATTAAATTTGAAGAAAAAAAATTAAACTATGATTTTTTCTCGTTAGATGTAACAATAGTCACAAAATATTAACAAAAGTTAGGCTTCAAGAATCTCAACCTCACAGCCACTCTCCATTTTGCTTCATTCTATCCTCGTCTTTTTTCTGTTGTTGCTTCGCTCTCTTCCGCTGTTGGTGTCCTTTTCCCGGTTTTGCATGCCATTTCGGGTTCCTTCTTTTCTTGGTGGTGTTCTCCCTATCTGCTCCTTCTGTGATTACGCTCGTTGATGGGCCTGTCGTTGGGGGGGCGGGTGGTCTCTTGGCTTGTCACCTCGTTAAGTTCCGTTGATGTGAAATAGTTTGGGAAACCATTGTTCTGACCACTCTTTTTCTGGGTTGTTAGCAGGTGACGGTACGAAGCTCTGTCCCCGCTGACGTCAATCAGGATGAGTTTCCACGGCGGAGGCATTTCGCTGGACTCACTCGTGGGCGTTTGGGGTTTTGCCGCTCGAGCTCGGGCGCGTTTCGGCGTCGTCTCTCAGGTCGGCGATGTTCTCCCATCCGCTCATCATTCCCATTACGTCCTCCTCATAAACGATGCTGTTGTTGTAGTCCTCCCTGAGTTTCTTATATTCCTGAAGGGACATCCTTTTTGGCCGGCTTTGGAATTTGTGTTGCGGCTGGCTTTGGGGTTCGACGTATTGATCGAAGGCGGACCAATCGACGTCCTCGTCCCCGCGCATTTTTCGCCGTACAGGGTCGCTCTAGGGTTCGTCCATGTTTTCCACTGCTACTAGTTGACGTGCTAGAAATAGATTATCTTGATGTTCTGAGCTCGTGACTCTTGTGCTGCCCAAAGTTGACTGGAGTCACGTCCGCGCCGCGTCGTCCGCGGTCGCAGTGACGCCTTAACCGGTCCTTTACTCATCCTAATAGATAAAAAACTCGATTTTTATCTACCTAATCTTATCACTATCGACACATGATGAAAAAACAGGAAAAAGAAATTGCTAATTAGAATCAGTTGAGATGTTGTCAGACGTCTTAAGAAAAAATCCGATACGATTAGAGGCAAGAGGAGAAAAAAAAAGGAAGAAAAACGGACCAAAGATGAAAAATTTAAAAAATGGAGATGCTGCTAAGCTCACCGCGGTGTGAACTTTTTAAGTCGATCCGCTTGGATAACTAAATATCTGTTTTTACCTCTCTTTTTGGTGTCTAATTTGTAGCTGCTGCGCGATATTTTTTCAACAACTTCATACGGACAATCATATTTAATACGCAGTTTTTCCGATAATTCCTTTGTCCGTGCTGGCATGTAAACTAGAACTAGGTCTTCGACTCCAAATGGTGGCTCAAATCTGTTTTTGTTTGATTGATCACGTTGATTTTGTAGGATGTCTGGGAGTTTTTTGAGAGTTTCATCTCGTATTTCATCCAGCTTTCTTAGGCGCTTTAATAATTCTGTATTTTCACATTGCGGGCGTATTTTTGCGTCGATGGGTAACTGGAATTCTTGGCCCGTGAGAAGGAAAAAAGGGCTTTGATTAGTTGTTTTGTGTGTGCTCGAGTTGTGCGCAGCGGCGATGGCAGGTAAATATTCTGGCCAACTTTGCTGATTTTCCTGTGTGAAACTTCTCAAGTAATTTCTAACACGTTTCCAAGTGTTTTCTATTAACCCGTTAGCTCTTGGAGAATAGGGTAGTGTAAATGATTTTTTGACTCCATATTGGTCAAGGAATTCATTATTTAGGTCCGATGCTAAATTTTTACCATTATCCATCACCAGCTCTACTGGTATGCCAAAAAGTCCAAAAAATTCGGTCAAAACTGCTTCCAGCGATTTTGCTGTTATGTTTTTGACACTTTTCAGCCATAGAAATTTGGAAAAATAGTCACAGATGCCGATTATATATCTTTTCTCGTTGCCTTCTGCGTCAAATCCCTTCGTGACCGGACCCCACGCATCGATGCCAAGTTTTGTCATCACACTATTTGGAATCTTGTGTGATTTGATTTTCCCATATTTTTCGTGGTTCTGAAGTTTTTTCGCGAACTGGCATTTTTTGCAAGATAGCACATACTTTCTAATATCGGCATGCATTCCTTTCCAATAGAATCTTTTCCTGGCGCATTCAATGGTCTTAAATATGCCGGAGTGGCCTGAGAAAGGATCGTCGTGAATACTCTGGAGTACTTCTTTTTTCATGTGTGATGGAATCACAGCCACTTTACTATTGATGTAGCATTTTTTCCACAGAATGCCTTCTTCGATGTAAAATGCCTCCGCTTCCTTTTTTGTTTTTGCATCTGTATTTTTGGGTTTCTTGATAGCTTCATACAGGGTGTTTAGTTTATAATCCTTTTTCTGTTCTGCCTTTAGTCGTTTTGGTTCCACTTTTCCGGTCTCTTCTTGAGCTTTTGACCGTGTTACAGCATGTACTTGAGCAATGGTTTCGGTATTGGGAGGGTAGCGAGACAGATAGTCTGGTATTACGTTTTTCGAGCCTTTCCTCCATTCAATGTGTAATTGTATTCTGACAGTTTGAGAATTAGTTTTAGCATGCGTGCTGATGAAGTTTCCATATTTTTGACGTATACCAGAGCTTGATTGTCCGTGTCTATTTTGAACGGCATGTTCCACAGATAATGTTTATTTTTCTCAATTCCGAAAGTGATTGCCAGGATTTCTCTCTCGTGGCTTCCCCAGTGTGATTCGTTGTTCGAGAGAAATATCCTAAAGGTCGCACCGATCCATCTGCGTAACGTTGATTCAGGCAACTTCCTATTGCTACTTTTGATGCGTCTTCGTGGAGCTGCAGGGTCGTATTTTCTGGTTCGTAAAAAGCCAACACTTCAGATGAAACTAAAGCTTGTTTTATGTTGTCAAAAGCTGTTTGTTTTTCGGCGTCCCAATGAAACTTGGCATTTTTGCGCGTTAGCTGTACTAAAGGTTCTGCATAAAAAGCCATTCTAGGAATATGAGTTCGATAATAGCTTGCGGCGGCTAGAAATGATCGAACTCCTTTCACGTCTTTCGGAGGTGGAGCATTTGCTATTGCCAGGGTCTTCTCCTTTGAAACAGATATTCCGTTTTGACTAATGTGAAAACCGAGTGCGTCACATTCTCTCATGGCCAGGCGACTTTTTTTTAGTTTTAGTAAAAGTTTAGCTTGTCTACGAAATTCGAAAAATTCCTCCAATTTTTGTAGATGACCCGCAAAACCTCCTTCGGTGTTGTAGACGTAAAAGTCGTCCATGTAATTCAAAACACCCCTGTACAACATTGGACTGAAAGCTTTTGCCATCAGCTGGCCGAATCGAAGCGGAGAGATGGACAGACCCTGTGGTAGAACGCAGAATTCGTAATGATTGTCAATGGTGCTGAACGCGCAATAAGATGATGACTCCTTATCGAGTTTAATTTGGGAGTATCCTTGCTCCAAGTCGAAGCAGCTGATGTATTATGCCCCATTTAGGCAGCTTAATACATCATCGACCCACACCAGAGGAAAAGTCTCCGCGTGGATTTTCTCGTTGAGTTTACGCAAATCAACCACTGGTCTGTATTTCCCGACCTCTCGTTTTGAAACCAGCATAAGAGGTGATGCATATGCTGAGGTTGACGGACGGATGATTTGCGCACGTAGCATTTCGTCGATGTATTTCTTAATCAAAACGCGTTGTTGTTTCCCGGTTCTAAAAGGGGGTTTGTGGACCGGCGTCGAATCTTTCAAAATTAATTTTTGAGGTTCAAAGTTTGCTTGCCCTCCGATAAATTGTGTATCGGACCAGGCAAAAACATCTTGATATTTCAGAATGAGGTTTTCCAGTTGGTCTTTTTGTATCTTACTTAGTTCCTTGCTACATTCGATTTCAGAGAGGCGAGTTTTTTCTGAGCTTGATTTTGAATTAGCTTCATTTGAGTTTTTGGCTCTCGTGGGTCCTTCTTCTACCGTATTCGTCATAGCTGCGGTTTCTTCGTTTTCTTCACTTCCTGAGGCTTCGTATTGAAATTCGATTCGATTGCGCGTGCGCACTCCCTGGCCGCTCTGATTCGACGCTGTAATCGTCATCCAGCGAACTTGACCGGTCATTTCCGATCATGACCGATCCTGATCATGGAAACTTTCGCATCTCATCACAAAGTTCTTGTATGCCTATTGGTACCTGCTTAGACAGGGGTTATAACTGCGGAAACGGGGATGAAGAAATACAAGAAAAAGGTCAAGCCTTCTGACTAAATGAAGGAAGCCGCAGTAATAATGGTATGTGCGCATACATGTAGTTTTAATGCCCAATAGCTAAATTAAATGGACCACTTGAGAAGTATCACCCCTGTAAACATTGCATTCGTTCTCCACGTGTTTTTCCCGCATATGCCATTATTGCAGCCACCGCCTCAATTATGCTTTTTCTTGAGGTAACCCTATTATGCTGAGACTGGTTTATCATCTGGCTACGTTAAGACCAAAGAAGTGCTACGTTAACGATGGTTGGTGTTGACATGGTGTGCAATTCGAATTGGTACTCTTGTATCATTTACCATTTGACAGTGACTGTACAGGCTCATTTTCTGCTAAAAACCAAAGGAGTCACTCCCAAGAGTGTTCTGCCGCAAACATTTAAGCCACAAAAAAGATTGAGATCTCGCCAGAAAGGGAAGATTGTGACCTGACTTAAAATTAGATAAAATTTTCAAAGTTGTTACCATAAAAAATTAATAATTTATTCTATGAAAAGCATTTTTTAATAGCTCAAATTCTCTATTTTCAGAGATCTCCAGCCACGCCTGAAATTCGGAAAAATCCATTACAGAAATATTCTCCAAACAGGACATCGCCCACAAAACAGTTAAGTCCTCAAAAAACAGCATGGCCACAACCATTTAGTTCACCACGTTTGAAAAACCCAAGTCAATTTTCCCCAGTTACTTCCCACACCAGCCCTTCCAAGTCAGCCTCATATTCTCCAAACAAGACATCGCCTATGAAACAGATCAATCCTCAAAAAACCACGTGGCTACAACCATTCAGTCAGCTAAGTTCCACAAATCCAAGTGAATCCTGCCCAGTTACTTCTCATACTAGCCCTCTCAAGTCAGCCTCACCTCGCCGAATCAATCTTTTAAGTCCAAAAAGACCATCAAAGAACACTCCTAACCCAGGCTTCGTCCTTCAAAAAGCCATCGCATATGAACAAGCTGTAAGTCCCACCAAAAATATTGTTCAGGACCCTGCTGAATTGTCTTTAGCGGAGAGAAAGGCACTCTTTGAAAAAAATAACAGCAAACCTATTCTCCCTAAGGTACCTTTTGGTCAACCACTTCCCGTCAACAATAAGCGAACAAATACTCACATTATGGAAGCCTGCGCAACTTCAACAATGAAGGTAAATAATTTACCTTGGTCTCTCAAGCAAGAAGTCATAGTAAATTCAACAAAAAAAGGAAATAATTTACCTTACTCTCCAATCAAGGACAAATTGCCGGCAAATATGACTATGGAAACTGATGATTCGTCTAACTCATCCAAGAAGAATCCAGTGCACTTGGCAGGTAATAGACTCAACAAAATATTTGTCTTGTGAACTTCTCATTTAACTTGGAAAAACGATTTATCCAATCGATAATTAAGTACTCACAAAATTATTTATCCGCTGCAATTTTAGCAATCGCCAGGATCTGTTAATTTCTTTTTTGCACTTCAATCTAGCTCTGTTCCAAGAGAAAGCTGAAGCCATGAACTTAAAGACCGATTCTTGAAGGATTATAATCTGATTTTTGGTAACTAAACAGACAGTCAATTTTATTGATATTTTTTCTTCCAAAATAGTCTTTTAAAAGTATGAGCCTGAAAATTTGTTCGTTTTTTACTTCCAGATTCATGGGTACGTACTTAATTCATTGTATCTTAATCACAAGTAAAAATATATTTTTCCTACCATCACCTTCAATCCATTAATAGCACAATTTTGAAGGAGCAATTATGTAAAGGATAGTATTTTCGAACAGTAAAGTCCAATTTTTATAACCTGTTTGAAGTCCTTATTGATGAAAAGCCCAGCAGTGTCATCTATGATAGGAGACAGAACGTTTTAAGATACTAAAATGTACCAATTTTAGTGTTTTATATGGCATTTCAATGTTTGACCACCTGTAGCAGAAAATTACGTACATGACCAAGTTGAAGTTTGGTGCGATAACTCCTTTAGTTTAAAGGGTGTGCTTTCTTGGTGGCAGATGTTTTTGCAAAAACTACCAAAAGGGATACAAGGTTTAAAAAACATGCAAATGGGTCAGTGCAATATTGGTGGCATATCATTTTAGCAGAATATTTACCAGCCTGTCTTTATGTGGAAAAGGTTGTTTCATCTGCCATTGGAACTGAGCCCAGAATGAAATCTTCTCATCTTTTCAGGTATTAAAAAGCTTGAAAAAAAGAAAGCCGAAACTAAAAAACTCAAACTCACAAAAATCAATTAAAATTGCCGATGTGTTTCAGGGCTGCCCTGTAGCTCCGAAACGCGTCAGCAATTTTAATTAATTTTTGTGAGTTTGAATTTTTTAGTTTCGGCTTTCTTTATTTTCATTATTTAGCTCACAGTTTGTTATCTTGATTTCCCGTTTGTTTTGTTTAGTTTTTGTTACTTTCGGTTCGTTACATTAAAAAACTTGGTCAAGAATCCCCCGCTCCCATTCCTTAGCACAGCTAGTCTTAACGACTTTAAATTTTTTGACGAGTCACAAGCAAAAACTCTTCAGATTCTTGAAGTAGAGTGTCTACTGAGTCATTTAAGCCAAAAAGAAAAAAATTCTGTCGAGCTTCTGGATAATAAAGTCGATTTAAAGGTATTTTTGGGCTAAAATAGCCAAATTACCCATAGCAAGGCCCGTCATATTATTTAAAAACTTGTTTTCTTCCTGGGTATTATGCCCAAGTTTCTTAAACATGCATATTTTAAGCCTCCGATTACTGAAACTACCAATTTTAACCATATGGTAAATTTTGGGGGCCTAAAATGAGCCCTCAGAGCCAAAAATTGCAAACATTTTTGAAAACTTCGGATTTTCAGGGGGGTGTTTTTTTTTAACGTTGTTTTTTCTACAGTCGTCAATGAGTAATTCTGAAGGGCATTTTCGATTACATAATTGAAATTTTGACTGTTCAGGTGAAGGGGGAAGGGGGCACCAGGCTTTGCTTTGCCATTCTCACAGTTTCTGAAAACGCTTGAAAATTCCCTATTACATTGGAAGTCCAAAATATCCCTTTTTATTCATTAATTACTGTATCTGATATTATAAAATATGCAGCAGGAGTTACTGCCCCCCCCCTCCTCCTCCCTACGAGATGCATGTAAACCTTGATCTTACTGCGCGCGCTACCGGATCCTTGCTTTTCGCATCCGGGCATTTGCAGGATAAACTTGTAGCATAAACATGTCCATTTATTTGTAATGCTAAAGACCGCCAAATGTTTTATTGCAAATGCCCGGATCTACTGTACAACGGACTGCCATCACGCGAAAAGCAAGGATCCGTTAGCGCGCGCAGTAAGATCAAGGTTTCCATGCATCTCGTGGTGAGGAGGAGGGGGGGGGGCAGTAACTCCTGCTGCATATTTCATAATATCAGAAGCAGTAATTAATGAATTAAAAAGGGATATTTTGGACTTCCAATGTATTAGGGAACTTTCAAGCGTTTTCGTAGCGCGCGCAGTGAGATCAAGGTTTCCATGCATCGCGTAGTGAGGAGGAGGGGGGGGCAGTAACTCCTGTTGCATATTTTATAATATCAGATACAGTAATTAATGAATAAAAAGGGATATTTTGGACTTCCAATGTAATAGGGCATTTTCAAGCGTTTTCAGAAGCTGTGAGAATGGCAAAGCAAAGCCTGGTGCCCCCTTCCCCCTTCACCTGAACAGTCAAAATTTCAATTACGTAATCGAAAATGCCCTTCAGAATTACTCATTGACGACTGTAGAAAAAACAACGTTAAAAAAAAACACCCCCCTGAAAATCCGAAGTTTTCAAAAATGTTTGCAATTTTTGGCTCTGAGGACTCATTTTAGGCCCCCAAAATTTACCATATGGTTAAAATTGGTAGTTTAAGTAATCGGAGGCTTAAAATATGCATGTTTAAGAAACTTGGGCATTATACCCAGGAAGAAAACAAGTTTTTAAATAATATGACGGGCCTTGCTATGGATAATTTGGCTATTTTAGCCCAAAAATACCTTTAAATTGACTTTATTTTCCAGGAGCTCGACAGAATTTTTTTCTTTTTGGCTTAAATGACTCAGTAGACACTCTACTTCAAGAATCTGAAGAGTTTTTGCTTGTGACTCGTCAAAAAATTTAAAGTCGTTAAGACCAGCTGTGTTAGGGAAGGCCCCCTTTAAAAAACCAAAAATTTGTCAAAAAGTTTGATGAGGGAAGAAAAAACTAATCATAATTTGACCAACCAAAAGCCAACAGTTATGATGTTGTAATTGGGCCGTAACTTTGCTGGGCTCCAGCCAATAAGCCAATACCGGCCCCATATCACAAATCATCTCTCATATTTCTAACTTGGTGGCACAATCGTACTGTCGTGCTAAGGAAGTAGGAAGAAGTGCCGTGCTGTACGAACCATCAGATTCAAACTGAGATGTTTATGTTCAAAGTCTAAGGCATGCCTCTCTGCGAGATTTGCAAATTTTAAGTTTTCGTTTTCTCCCATTAACAGCTTAATCCCTTGGCTGTTCACTAGCGCTTAGATAATTTGCAATAAGATACTGACATCCCGGAAAATCACAAAAGAATGAGGGTATGTCGGACTTACGGCAAACTGCCCGTGCAGACAGGGTCCTTTCACTGTACCGATTTTGCTGTGTTTCTATCCTAGCACCGAGGACGAGCTTCCAAAGCCGCCGGCTGGTTTAAGGGTCTCACCTCTTTTCGTTTCTGTTGGATTCATTTTAGCAGGAATCATTTCACCTATAACGAAAATCATTGACCTTGCGTGTTTCTAAGGTAGAACTATTTTAAATTTCAAGTAAAAACTAATAAGGAAGAATAATCATTACGAAAGTAACTGCAAATGAATTGAAAGCTTCATATTTTTTTGTTTTATTTGTATGTTTCTTATCTGAATAGGGTGCATGTTACATCGAAAGGTGGCCTTAAAGGAAAAAAGTAAGTTCTGCGCAGAAAAAACAATCTTAGTGGTTAGTAGTTTCCTGATTCCAATAAAAAATAAAATACGGCAGTCTATTGTTGCAACCTCGCCTCTATGCGGGACATACTGCAGGCACCCCCTCCATATCTCTGAAACCAATGAAGATACGCCTTTGTTGACTTCACCATTGAATAGAGCATGCTTTACTCAGTATAATTTCGTATCTAAACCAAAAAAATTTTTTTTGCTCATATGGCGTTTTTCCTTAGCACGGCAGCTTACATGTATATGTTTTGGATGGAATTTCTTTATTTGTGAATTAAATATTTTAACATGCAACTATGCTCTAATTTTTACTTCAGAGCCTGGAAAAGTAAGCAAGCTTCAGTCCAGATTAGCTGTTTTTGAATCGAAAGAAAAAATTCTGTGTGAAAAGAAATATGACGATGAAAGAGGAAAAGAATTGGAAATGCTCTGCAATCGATGGGAAAAGTTTAAATACATCAAAGGCAGCACTGTCAAAGAGAAAGTAGTCTCACCAAAAGTGAACAAATGTTTTGTTACAACAGTACATCCAAAGAAACGACCAAGCTTACCCATAAGTGACTCTCCTTCAACGCCTGAGCAGCCACCTAACTCACAGTCCCCTGTTCGCTGTCCTATATCGCCTGAAAATGAGGTTAAGGAAGGAAAAGAAATTAAACCTAGAGTTTGTGAGTATTCTTTCTTCTCATATTTCTAACGAACAAAGCTCGTTCTAATTGGTATTATTTACCACGTGTATAGAAAGAGAGGGAGGGGGGGTCATTATTATCTGCATTACCTTATTCACACAGTTACATAGATACTTGATCGCGCTCTGCTTGTGATCAAATAATACCCCTCAGCAATGCAGATGCCAATTTCACAATCATCTGGCAACTCTCATGTAAGTGATGTATGGTGATGCTGTGGTGTGCAATTTAAATTGATGCTCTTGCCTTATTCACCTGCTTTTTAACCGTAGTTACTTGGTTTTATTTTCTTGTGAAAATTATGTAAGAACCTCTAAAAATATTATGCTGTTGCAGTCATATCAGCCAAAAAAATCATTGAGATCTTGTTGGAAAAGGGAAATCACGACCCGTCAAATCAAAGATTGAAATAGTTTTAAAGTCTTTTGGATATAAAATGCTGACTTGCTGCTTTGTGGATTGCGTTTAACAAACCAAATATCAAATTTTAATAAAATTGTCATAATTTGTGAATTTTCCTGAAGGATCATGCAGAGAATAACAGAGGTGGATCTTTAACTTTTAAAGGTTTCATTTTATGAAGTAAAATTCTTAATTTTAGAGGAAAATAATGATGGCCAAAGTGAAAAACTGAGCGAAAGTGCAATACTTTTGCGTTTTAGATTGTGATAAATGCTTTGTGCCCTAATGGATAGCTAAAACCAGCAGTTTTCCTGAGGAATCAACAAATTCAGGGTATCCTGATAGCTATAAAATTCACTTTAAAGTACAGTAGTATATCTTACTGTTTCCTCTTACAGCTTTTCATAGTGAAATTTTCATTCACTCTTACATGTTTTATGAAATTTCAGGGATGCCTAATGTGTCACCGATTGTTGTATCACCTCCAAAACCTGGACAGCTATATCCAAGTCTATCAGATATTGAGGCAAAGACAGGGTCTGAAGTAGCGGATGAAAAGAATGATGCTTCCATGGACAGTCAAGGGCAGAATGATTCTGATTACACTGTATCCTCCAGCGATGGCACTACCAGTTTTGGGCGTGAAATTATACACATGGCCAATGAAAAAATTCTAATAGGCTCCAATCGTAAGGTATTGTGAAAGACTTTGGTCTCATCTTCAGTTTTAACATTTTGAAGGTGAATTAACTTGGATATACCAAAGATAGAGCTGTACGATTAAGGATCCGTACACGGCTCGTCTGAACTACTTTACATGAAAAGTCGATGACACCAAAAAGTCTCATAGGGAGCTTGAAGTAGGATGTAAGTGCTGTCATTTAAGCCAAAAACGAAAATAAACTGTCGGGCTCTTCGAAAATAAAAGGGATTTTTATGTTGACTTACGTGGTTTTTTTGAAAATTAAGTTTCTCTAATTTTCAGGGAGGATAACAGCGACAAAAAAGTTAATATTACAACATCATATTGTTCTACAAAATTGTAGCTTTCTAACGAGCTAAAGATTTTTATTTTTGGACCACTGGTTTGCGAGATAATCGATTTTTCTGTTAAAGGTTATATTTTTATTCATATTCTCCAATTTTTCATAAGTTAGTACAACTTTAATGAAACATTACATCGACATTTAAAATGTAAGAATATGAATAAAAATATAACCTTTAATGGAAAAAAGAAAACAAAATCCCATGCACCTATCGCAACTTAGGAACTGCTGAATTTACGGTTAAAAATAAGGCCCCGGGGGGGGGGGGGGGTAAAATAAAGTGAAGTCTGAATTTTGGTCAAAATGAGTATCAAGATGCAATTAATGGTACGTTTCATTCAAATATGTCAGCTGAAAAAATCATAACAAGACAAACACAAAATCTTGAAATTTTTGCATTTTTTAGCCAATTTTGAGGGTTCATAGCAAAAAACTGAAACTTATGATGACGTCAACAATAATTTTTCTTTAAAGCACTCTAACATATGCTCTCTCTGTGAAATATTTGAGGCTCTAGCTCAATTGTAATGTTGTGAAAAAAATTCGGCAAAGTTGGCAAAATGCAGAATTTTGCCCAAGGCGGGGCGGGATTTTTGGCCTTGTGCAACCCTTAAATATTTTTTTAGAATTGTTTTCCTTCAGTGAGATCTTATTTTTATAAGTGGGGTCAACAATTTAGAGGGTACCGTCATCAAAATTCGGAGGTGACCCTCAAAGTGGGACACCCTAGGGTCCACTGATGTCGTTGGACCCACAACGGAATGAAGTTGTCTCAGTAAAAATCGATTATCTCCCAAACCAGTGGTCCAAAAATAAAAATCTATAGCTCGTTAGAAAGCTACAATTTTGTAAAACAATATGATGTTGTAATATTAACTTTATTGTCGCTGTTATCCTCCCCGAAAATTAGAGAAACTTAATTTTTTGAAAAAAACCACGTTTGTCAACATAAAAATCCCTTTTATTTTCGAGGAGCCCGACAGATTATTCTCGTTTTTGGCTTAAACCACAGCACTCACATCCTGCTTCAAGCTCCCGATGAGACTTTTTGGTGTCATCGACTTTTCATCTAAAGTTAATTCAGACAAGCTGTGCGTAGGTTGCATTAAAATGAAATGAAGTAAAAGATAGTAAAAGTTTGTTTCACCGAATTCGCGGGGAACCGCCGGCAAATCCGGTAAAGCAAGCTATCCGGTTGGTCGAAATATCAGATTTTTTACAGCAATAGCGCAAAATTTGAGGTCAGTTTTTTTTAAAATAAAAAATTTGCCTCAATTTGGTTTACTTGCGGGGAAAGACTCAAACAAGGTTAGATATTTCTTTTTTGCGTTTATGCAGCCTAATTTGCGGAAATCTTTAAAATTAAGTCGGATTTTTTTCTTTTTCTTTTTTTTAAGTGCTTTTCAGACCCTCTTGATGCGTTCATCGTGATTTCCAAGCTAATTTCTATGAGGACTCCTCTTTTTTACTCTAGCTGAAGTTTGCAACAGGCCCATTGACAGAACATTCTGTTAATAGTGAAAGACAAAAATAATGCCCTATCATTTTTTGGTTTGTTTCTCTCATAGAGGAGCAGTAGCAGTAGTGATATATCAGGTTATGATCAGAAGGCTGTCAACTCTGTGGACAACTTCCTGGAAGAAGCTTTGTCCGATGAGTCTTCATGTCCATCGCCAACAAAACAACCACGTAACGGTCATGCGATGGCTCAGTTGGATTCCTCCCCAGCTTCTCACATTCGTTTCTCAAAGGAGGAGAAAAATCCTGTTTGCTTGCCTCTTCTTCACACTGTTAGCTTTTACAGAAAATTGCAGAATCAGAATTCAGTAAGTACGCCAATATTTTGCTCAACAAACTCAAGTTTCATTGGCTTCATTGGATAAGTTCTTCAATGAAATCAGAAATGAGAGCAGTTTTTTATATTATCTGAATACTTAAACTTATTATAGAGACTGTGTAATGTCTGTAATAGAAGAAGTGAAGAAGTGTTTATATCAGAATGAACTGTCAAAAAAAAAAAAAAATTAGGCCAACACCCCTTACTATACTTATGAAATATTTGACCCAACACACAGAGCCCAATGGGGATTTTGCATGTGTGAGGAATTTGCGTTTTGACTATTGAATCTAATGTAAAAGTTCGCGAGAAACACGATGGTGCCACTGGTTTTCTCTGAAATCAACTCCCAAGCTCATGAAGAGCTCTCAAGTTGAGGCCAAAATGGAGGGTATATCTCACGCTATCTCGAGGGTCCACGTCTACATCAAGATAAACTCTCCATGAAAAGATAGGGAGCAAATACATTAGCAGTGATGCTGTGTTTTCAGTTTTAGAGTCCTCAAATAAAATGGCAGCCCTGTCAATGTATTTGCTCCCTATCTTTGCATGGAGAGTTTGTCTTGGTGTTGAGGTGGACTCTCAGGATAACGTGGGATATCCCCTCCATTTTGGCCTCAACTAGAGAGCTTTTTTTGAGCTTGAGATTTGATTTCAGAGAAAACCAGTGGCACCATCGTGTTGCTCGTGAACTTTTACGTAGGAATCATTAGTCAAATCGCAAATTCCTCACACAAAGTCCAGGCATATTAGATCAAAAATCGGCGATTAGAAAAAAAAATGTATATATAAGGTTTTATGTGCCCAAGTTGTTCATCGGGGTGTCAGGGACTCCCAGCAAAAAGTCCCCAAGAATCCCTTGTACGCTCGATCCCCCGCCCCCCCCCCCCAAAACCCCCCAAAAATCGACCTTTCCTCGGTTTTTCGTAAATATCTCAAAAAGAATTGGTTTTAGCGAAAAATGAGTTATTTAGTGAATAAAAGTTCATAAAATTTCCAATAAAAATGACTTCTATGAATTTTTTTGTAAAACGACTCTGAACCCATCAAAATGGCCGCTGAAAAAACGGGCATTTACGGAAATTTCAGTTTCTCCCGAAAATGCCCATTTTTCTTTGAAACGGCTGCTCTTTCGTAAAAGTTAATGGCGGATTCTAAAAGAGCGTTGAATTTCACATCAAAAATGATTAACATCGATCATTTTAGACTCACGGTCGATCAACGGAAATACCATATATCGAAGCTCTTCCGCCCGGGCGTAACAAATCAAGTGCTGAGTAGTTAAACATTTGCGGCCGGGGTTCTAATGACACTAAAATCATACTTTTTTCACTCGGGGGTCATTTGTATATTAGCCTTTTACTCCCTCTTAAGGCCATCATCGGAGGGAAGGGAGTAGTGATTGTGGGGGGGGGGGGGCTCCCATTACCCTTCCTCCGCTTAGCCGCGCAACGGTTTAACATACCGGAACGATAAGCATGGTCCAAGCCCGCGAAAAAGTCGATGTGAAAAGATGAGGCCACGTTTTTTGTCTTGTCTTCGCATTTTCGCATTTTGGAGGAATCGTAGTTGCCAAATGACAGAAAAATGATGAATGCTGAAATACATGGCCCAAAGAGTGGAGGGACATTATACCTAGCAAGGCTGGACGAGCCCTTCTTATCTAGAACTCGGGGGGCTTATGTAGCTCGTTTAGGGGCTTCGGTTTGATAAAAATTCCCCTCTCGCCTCTCGTTGCCCCCATCGAATTTATCCCGTGGGGCTCCTTCCCATGTTTTGCGATTTGCGATTAGTTCGAGAACTGATCTCAAGCAGTTGCACGGACTTCCACCCTCGATCCGCGTTGTGGCTGTGTCATTCGTATTCCAAGCATATTATATATTTCTGCATATTTATTATCATATTATTAATATGCAGCGTCCGATTAATATATATCGGACTTTATCATCATGCAAATAAAAATATCGAAAGTTTGAACGAACATCGTTTCATCAGGTTTAAAAAAGGTGCAGTCACGGCTAAAAAAAGTAGTCTCGAAATTCTACCGCTGACAGAAGATGCTGCCAAATTGCACTGTTTTAGAGTATGCCTTCAAATTCAAACGTGGCTCGGTAATGCACTCTCGCCTTTAAATTGGGGATGGAAATTGGATCCGCAGCTTACTCCTGAACAAACCACTTTAGGGCCTGCACCTAAACAAGTTTTGGACGCAATTTTCTGTGGCTGTGTTAAGGGTTGCAGAAAATTGTGCGGTTGTAGAAAAACAGGCCTGAAATGTTCAAACGTTTGCTTGCATTGCAACGGCATCTCATGTGATAACTCGCTTGTGCTTAATACAGACGAGTGAGAAGAAGAAGAAGCCAATATGGATGACGCGAGGGCAACACCAGAATTGAGCGGCAATGAGGCGGAAGAAGAAGGAGAAGAAGATAAACAAGAAGAAGAGATGGAAAAGAAGAGAGAAAAAGTTGTAAGCAATTACGCACTTAGGCCAAAAAGACGACGATTATTCTAAGACTATTCTCTAAGTTTTACAGCTGGACATTCCTTCAAAAAAGTTATTGGGCAACCACTTGCTATCGAATAAGTAATTGTAGTTAATTAGAATTTAGTGCTTTACAATGATTATTAAGTGAAACAAATTGAAAATATTATTTGTGATTAATATACTGATCATTTGTTCTTTAGCACGGTTTTATAATTGACTCTATTCAAGCTCAAAGTAGTACCTGAACACCTTACACTTGAAAAGATAATCATTCAAAAAATCTGAGTCCCCCCCCTCCCCGCTTACAACCACCTGTACTGGAGCTGGAGGTATGGAAGTGAAAAAGTGAACATTAAAAAATGTGTTTTATTGCTTTACTAGAGACGAATCGAAGTGAAAAATAGGGATCATTCAATTATAAAGTAATGCTCTATTTCTACCTTTCAGCCGCCCCCCCCCCTCCCAACTCTCAATGCACAATTTGTGTTTTCTGGATGGAAGAATCTCGCCTCTCCTCCCTCTTCAGATGCATTACGTGATAATTGAACGCTTCCTTGCTCCAGCAGAACCGTAAACTTAAATGAGTAACTAACCAGCACTTGATTTGTTAGGCCCGGGTGGAAGAGCTTCGATACATCGTATTTCCGTTGATCGACCGTGCGTCTAAAATGATCGATGTTAATCAGTTCTGATGTGAAATTCAACGCTCTTTTAGAATCCGCCATTAACTTTTACGAAAGAGCAGCCGTTTCAAAGAAAAATGGGCATTTACGGGAAAAACTGAAATTTCCGTAAAGGCCCGTTTTTTCAGCGGCCATTTTGAGGGGTTCAAAGTCGTTTTTCAAAAAAATTCATAGAAGTCATTTTTATTGGAAATTTTATGAACTTTTATTCACTCATTCTTCACTTTTTTTCACTTTTTTTTACTCATTTTTCGCTAAAACCAATTCTTTTTGAGATATTTACGAAAAACCGAGGAAAGGTCGATTTTTCGGGGGTTTTGGGGGGGGGGGGTCGAGCGTACGTGGGATTCTTGGGGACTTTTTGCTGGGAGTCACCCCAATGAGCAACTTGGGCACACAAAACCTTATATAAAAATTTTTTTTTCTATTTTTCCTATAATGCCTGGACTAACATGCAACATCTCCATTTCAAGTCTAAATGATTATTGTTGGGTCTCATCCAACCTTGAAAAAATCTGTGTTTGAAATTTCTCATTTTTTAACCTACAAAAAAAAGTTTGGAAAATTGGACAATTTACTTTGAAATCGGACATTTTGCAATATATCAAACATTTTTCCATGAAGGAAACTGAAATTTGACTGTGAGGCATAAACATCTGATCGCGACTAAGGTAATCATTTTGGAATGGTTCGCAGCCTGTTAAAGTAAAAATTTCAATAATCTAATAAAAGGACTAAACTGTAGATTTAAGAGAAAGTGGCTGAACCTCCTAATTGAAATTTGAAAATTATCAGTTTGTCTAGACTTTAAATTTTAATCCATGAACAATGCCAGTCAATCATTATCAGTGTCAAAATATTGACCACTTTAAATTTCTGTTCTAATACTATTTTTATTTTACTTTAAATTGTGTTGAAAATTCTTTTTGCATTTGTTGATAATGTATTTTACTGCTTACTTGGCATTTATACTTTTTGCAACAGGAATTGTCATCTCACTAACTTATTTCCGTGGGTTTTGTTTTTGTTTCAAAATGATTACTTGTAAGGTTATTTTAAGTGGCTTGACCATTGTCTAAATATTTTTAATTGCCAAACAATTAATTATACATTTTTTCGATCTATGCTCTGTACTGGAGTCTGGTGAGTTTAATTTTGAATTCTATGAGTAATTAAAGTATAACACCTTGTTTGAATCCTATCATTATTATAACAACATGGGATCTGGAATTTTTTCTAAAGTCTGCAAACTTACTCTTTCTATCTCCAGTACAAAATTACTATCAAGAATCAAGGCTTTCATTGGTAGCGTTATTAACGTTAATTCTAATGAAAATAGTTGTTGTGTTCAAGGCCGTAATATCAAGTCTCTGTATTACTGTAAATGCTAATTTTTTATCAAAATACCAAGAATGCTAATACCTAAAATCTGACACTGCTTATGATTTTACCAATTACTAGCAATAATCTTACAGCCTGAAAATTTTTTTGAATAATCAGCACTAAAGTTTTCGTTCATAATTTTCAGAGTTTGTCTGAAACACCCGTCAAGAAGTTTGTTCATCAAAGTACTAGCTCTGATTTTCCAAGCAGCGGAAGAAGTGATGCTGAGGCAGAAAGAGGACATGTGGAAAAAAAAATAATTGAGCTGCAGCAAAGGATATCAACCCAACAAACAGTGATCTCTCAGGCAACTCAAGCCTTAAATCTATGTTTTCACACTGTTGAGTTCTCTGACTCTGCAGAGCAGGTTGAAGCAGAGCGTCTCCTACTTTTTGCAAGTACGTCCGTCCTTTGAATATTTGCGAAAAGCACTCTCCAGTAATCCTCTTACTTAGAGACTCATCTAAAGTCCATCAGATTTACCAAAACTGATATTTATCCTTCTTGTGTTTTAACTGACTCTGATTCCCAATGTGTCTTCTAAATTTTAATTTTCTAATCGCACCGGTCAATGAAAATTTTGTTTTTAAAGTTGCCAAAAATTTTAAAACTAATTAGAGGCCGATTTCTAGCATTTTTACCACAATGGCCCTAGTTTTTCGGAGCCAGTTCTGTTCTTCTTGAAAAATTGGAATTTTCTCTCAAAATGAAACATTTTCAGATAAAATTCGATTTTCTGGAAAATATGTGAAGAACAGAGAAAGTCATTTTTTGATATATCAACCAAAAGTGCAGAGGGAGTCACATTGCATGTCAATCATAGAGGTCGTTCCATCTGCCATTGAAACCGGGCCCAGAATGAAAGCTCCTCATCTTTTCAAGCATTGAAGAGCATGGTCTGAAACACTCAAAAATGGTTGAACTTTTTCAAATCCCCCCTTCTGGAGGGGGGAAGGGGGGTCAAACGAAAAACGGTTTTTTTGCTTATAACTATTGAACGATTTAAGATATCGATTTGAACTTTTTTTAAATTAAAGGTCGTCAAAAAAGCTTTGTTTTGGTTTATAATGATTAATAGTTTGGTCAATTTTAGACCAATTTATGGCCTATTAAAAATTTTCCATGAGTCCAAAAATTAGATTTTTGTAGTTTACAGCAGTCCGGATCGTATGTCGATAAACAACATAGATTCAATCGACACAAATGGATGGACATGTTTTTCATCAACATACTTTCCGTGGAAAATTTTTTCATTGGCATAGTTTTTATTGATGTATTTTTGATCGGCATATATATTCGATCGACAATGTTTACATTGACACATTTTCGCTTGAAAATATAAATTTGAAATCCTTGAAATAAAACTATTTGTACGTCGACATAATTTCGATCAACGTTGGTTTACTCGACACAGTTCAATCAAAAAATAGAAACGCAATACAGTCAACGTCATTTCTATCAACAAAGTTTCAAACGACAAAGTTAGTATCTTTACAGCGATTCATTCGACATTATTCCAATCGACATTGATTTGGCTGACATATGTTGTTTCGGTCGACAGCGGTGCAGTCGACATAGTTTCGATAGCTGTTTCATCCACTCCTCCTAAAATGCAACGCAGTTACTTTATGATGGTTGCATTCCTGCCTTGTGATTCGAACTGCTTTATTTGGTGGCGCAGTGGTTGAACTCTGCGTGATTCGTTCTATGATTTTGAAGGTAATTATTGAAGCAGTATGTCCTTCCACCCTTTACTGTAGCAAACTGAGCAACAATATATTTGTGCCATTCAAATAAGACTATTCTATTCATATTTAATGGCGGAATGAAGATATTGAACTAGTAATTAATTAAAACCTGCTGTTATGTATTCATACACCTATACTAAAGATGGTTCAGAAGCTATTTCGTAATGCGAACACAAACATTAGTTGAAGAACTACTACAATCATCTTGTTTGAATTGTTTTGTTCGAACCGAATTTAGAAAAATATGCAACAAGCCGTATGTTATAGACTAATCCTGAAATCTGGACAAATAGCGAAGTGTCTAGACAAATCGGAATGTGTCCAACGCCTCTTTAACAAATCCCAAAATGAAAATAAAATTCTGGATTTGTCTAGACAAATGGCGCCTTGACCAACACTGATTTGGACAAATCTCGAAATAAATTATTTCTGGGTTGACTTGTCCAAGCAAATCGCGATTTATTTATTTATTCAATACCTGTAACTGAATCACTAATTTAATTTTAACAGTATGCTAATTTATTTACATTATTATAATATGACCAGGAAAATAAGTTATTAATTCGAACTGCCTATCGCGGCAATGCCTACCAGTTGTTGGTATGTCAATTTTCTCACGAAATCAAATTTTCAAGCACAAGAAAATATTTTTACAGGCAGAGGATGTTCCAGAAGGAAAAGAAATAAATATCCCCTCTTCCAATCTCCATTACAGGTGGACAGGGATTTTTTAAGTGTAACTGCAAAACTAAGTGTGTCCAAAAAATACAAATGTAAAGCCGCTGGAGATCTTTGCAATTCAAAGTGTCATGCCTCCCTCCCTTGCAAAAATAAGTGACGCATTATCTGTTTTATTTTAACTTAATTTAATGTGAAAAGTAATTATCAAAAAAAATTAATTGAATAACTTATTTTCTTAGTCATATTAAATTCATGAAATTAAAATAGTATACCACTAAATTAAATTAGTGAATTAGTTATAGTAATTAGTCAAATCTTCAAATTAAGTTCTTGAAATCCAAAGGAATGTATTGAACTAGCAACGATTTGTAGCCCGACGCCTATCTCATGCCATTCTCTAAGATGAGGAATAATTTTAACTTTTCATTAAATTTAATTTAAATTTTTTTTGAGATTTGTCCAAAATGGTGTTAGACAAATCCCAAATTTCATTTTCATTTTGGATTTGTTAAATAGGCGTTGGATACATCGCGATTTAAGTAGACACTTCGCGATCTGTCCAGATTTGTCTGCAACACACAGGGAAGCTCACCGTACCTATCAGGCCTTTTTTCAGTTAATTTAGGTGGGACAAAGCCTGGGACCCTGAGGGCGTATAGATAATACAATCGACCCCCAGGAGTCCAAATTTCATGAGCCCCTTGGTCGCCCTTGGGGCGTTAAAGGGGGGGGGGTCCATACTTCAGAAGTTGGGGTTTTTGTCAAAATTTTGAAGTTATTTCATCAGAATTAGAAAGTTCAGAATTGTTCAACTAAAATCGCCACCAAGATATCCAAAATCGACCCATCCTTATCGAAAATACTGACCTCTAAAGGTGGAGAACGTAACCCCTGATAAAAATACAATTTTGTCAAATTGACGTAGAGACTCGAGAAAAGTACGTATACATTGGTAGTTGACCAAAAGGAATCTGAATTTGAGGGTCCTGTCATCCCCAGAAGCTCCTCTAATGGGGCACAGTCTGTACTATGCCCCTTCATTTATCCTCTCAGGAATTACTCATATTCTTGAAGTCTACAAGCAAATAAATATGTAAATAAACCCCATTACGCAATAGATAAATAAATGAATAAACTCAGAAGAAGAAGACAATTTTCGCGTCGATTTAAATACAGCGGCACAGTGTATTCGCAGTTTTTATTTATTTATTTTTTTTCTTCATGAAAGGGTCCTCCTAGGGTAAAAATCGAGTTGCCTCCCAAACCTGCGCATTTGGCTCCCGTCGTGATTTTTTAGGTGTGCCAAGTTGACTCAAGTAGCGTCGTGACTTTGATTGTGTGCCGAGTTGGCTACCGCCTAAACAATGAACTGGCAACGCCGTTACAATCAGATGAGTATGTCAGACTTAACTTCACAATACCTCGTCCCCTAGACAAACGGCAGCAAAATAAGAAACAGTTCATAGCTGAAGCGGTATCGACCTACACAATGGATAACAACCTCCTTGCTTTCTTAAAAAATTTGTCTTGCACATTTTAACCCGTCACATTGAAGAAATATATTCATATGATTCGAATGGACCACTAGACAAGGTACGAATTTAAGCAATCTGATACATGTTTCTTAACCGGAATTTCACGTAAAACACGATTCGCGCAACGAAAATTACTGAAACTAACTCCTAACGAAGATATTATCGTTTTTATTTCACATTGGTTACGAGGAATTTGAACTGCCCGCTCTCAAGAAACTCAAAGCTCTACGTGAGTCAAATCGCTCACTACAACGGTTTCAGTAAGCTTCTTAATCGAGCAATGTTCATTTTCCACCATGTGTTGTTCAAACTATAGGTAAGCAATTTGCTATAGCTGAGCAAAAGCGTCAAGATTGAGGTTGCCAGATTTTTATACAGCAGAGACTGTCATAATAACATTCAGCGCGTGATGTGAATCACGTAGAGAATTGAGTTTTCATGAGCGGGTGGTTTGAATTCACGTATCAAGAATCGTTAAATATCTTTGGAAGGAGTTGAATTCGGTAATTTTCGTTGTGCGCGTCGTATTCTACGTGAAATTTTTGTTACGAATCATGTATCAGAATGCTGAAATTCGTACCTTGTCTAGTGGTCCATTATGAGATGGGAGCCAATGCGGCGTGCACCCACCCCCCCTCTTAGAGAGGAATTGGATACCTAAGAAGGTGAGATCCAGGGGTTACATTGCATTGCAACGGTTCAAACTTTACTGGACAGTGTATTTCTTTATAAATTGACAAGGCATACCCTAAAAATTTCAAAGAGTTTGCATCAAATAACAAGAAGACTTCAAAAATTCAAAGAAATTGAACCCAATTGTGCCCAGGGAAATTATTAGTTGAACAGTAGTCTGATGAGGCCTCATGAGAAACTCATGCATACTTGTAATGTTTGCTTTTTAATTTTGATGCTCAAAAATATTATTTTAAATTTTCCTCACAAATATTAGAATAATTACTGTTTTTTGTTTAAAAAATTAAATTAGCCAAGGGATAGTAAAAACCCTCCAACAGTAATGCATACTTGGAATCGGAATACTCGGCCCAATTCAAATTAAATTGAGTATTTGTCTTTGTTTATGCAACGAAGAATAAAAAACGCTGAAAAGCCAGTAATGCACCTTTTCAGTGGTGATTTAATGACTTTTATAGAGAAATAAACGTTTGGGATGCCTGAACGCTGAAATGTTCTGGCACTTTTAAAATAACTTTTAAGATAAATTGTAATCGGGAATTCAAATGCGCATCAAGTCTATTCATTGAGCTAAACACATGATAATTGATGGGAACCATCAGCAGCATTACTATTACCAATGTGGCGCTCACCAAAGCCCAACAGCTCAAAAACGATCAGGGCCAATTTTCCATTTAAAGATCCTGCGCTATAAGATCGCCGGATCTGTAGACGCAGCATTCTCACATTACTACCATGTTA